TATATTTTCTTTTTATGTTGTGAGATTAAATTTATCAAAAATGATCATTTATTAATACCAAGTTTTATTTTATCAGAGGCAACGAAGACGTGTTTTGTATCATCGTTCCACCCAACGGAACGTTGTTGGTGAATTGCGTCGCTTGGTATAATCTGTCTCTCGCAACTAGGTAATAAACCGGACAAATTTAAAGTAATTACACATTTACAACGACAAATAACACGTAGTTGACTTTTGAACTCCAATGGATGACATGGGGTTCGAAGATACTCATTTACCGCGTCGGGAGATTCCGAATAGCGTAACCCATTAGGGGACGCGGGGGCGCGTGTGACCTTTGTGAACATCAGTGCGGGTGTGACGGGTTTCCCAATCCCGGGGTGGGAGCCTCGGGATGAAGGCCCATATTTTCCTTCCTCCGGGCCGTTAGAACGAAGGGTATGGTTTATTGAAAAGGAAGTCGAATAAGGCCATCTTGGTCACCCCCGGTCCTAATAACTCCCGACGGCTGTGTAATATGAGGTATCTTCGGACCCCAAATGTCATCCATCTGAAGTCAAGATAAGCATATACCTAAGCGGGAGATTCCGGATTAGCGATAACCCAATTCCCTTCGGTACTACATCAAGAGCGGGGGTGCACCCCAGGCGGGCCGTGATCTTGGTTGTCGTGTGGACGATTATGTGGGGGGACGGACTACCGGTACGGCATTACCGCGTTAGTGGCAGGGACCTTGTATCGTTTTGTACGGATAGAAGGCTGCCCCACTTCCGGCCCTTGTATGTATTGGCCGGCGACACTCTTCATCTCTGCTTCCAGGGGTGGAACGCGTCGTTAGTATTCCCCCTTGTCGTCGAGAGACGCACAGGTCTGTTCCAATCCTCTCGCGGGTCGACCTTAGGGACTGCAGTGAAAGGGAGACTGGTCCGGGAAGGACATGTTTCACACAGTCTCCTATTTCCTTGTTAGGGGAGTGATATTCTCCCTTTTTCCGGCGAGAGGCGTACGGGCTCTCCGTCCTCTCTCCGCGTGGTCGAAACCGAGGGACTGCAGGTGAGTTAGGCTGTCCCTGTGGGCATTTGTCCCACACAGGTCTCTCTTTACCCTCTGTAGGGAGTTTATTTTTACTTTATTTGCTTGTCCCCCTTCTGGTTCTACGTCGTCGCGTTTATAGGAAGGTGGAGTGTAAGGAGGCACGTTTTCCGGCACCTCTCCTTAAGACTGCCTGTTCGCGTCGGGCCGAACCACGCCCCTTAGCTGTGATATAATGAGCATATACCACGGCCTGTCGTGAGCTATTGCTTAAATATACATATGTCCGGTAATTTGATATGTATCAAAGTACCAGATTATGATTATTGATGCATTATTGTGTTTATCACAGCTGTTAAAGGTAGAGCTCATTTTAATGATGTTGTGTACTGTTGCTGGAACTTTTGAACGTTATTAAGCGTTAACTTTTTTTGAGTAGATTTATATTTTGTACTAGCTAATGATTTTAATATGTAAATTAACTAAAGCTGTCAGATAAATGTAGCAAAGTAAAAAGACAATATTGGTTACCAGAATCTACTGCTGTAAAAGTATGAAATCCCATCAAATTAAAGTACCTAGGTTGGTACTGGAGGTCATGTGCTTAGGTGCATTGCCCTTTTGCTTCGATGCAGCTGTGCAGTGGTGTAATGTCACGCACAAGTACATTTACTGAAGTACAGTATTTAAGTACTACTTTTACATACTTGAGTAAATGTCTTTCATAATACTGTACATATACTTCCACTCCACTACATTTTGGAGCCAAATAGTGTACTTTTTACTGTTTTTTATTTATTGAACACTTAGTCACTAGTTATTTTTTACATATAAAAACACATACCTGATAAGATGCAGTAGCCTACTGTACTACACATATTCCCAGCATTTTACAAAGCCAATAGTGATTCAATTGGACCCACACTGAAAAACTAAAATGTTTAAAATGCCCCTACATATATTTATTAGTTATAAAAACAAGATACTATACATGTATATAATAATATTTACTCTAAACAGAATCATTATGCATTCCGAGTACTTTCACATTTGACACTTGAAGTACATTTAGCTGATAATACTTCTGTATGTCTACTTAAGTATGTTCAACAGTAGTTTACTATTTAAATACTTTAGTATTTGTACTTTTACTTAAAAAAAGAATCTGAGTACTTCTTCCATGACTGAGTACCTCGCCTGTTGTGTAGTAAGGCACGAGCCAACATTGAGCCAGTCCTTCACTAATATTAAACATGAATTGGTTTATCTCCATGTTTTCGCGCCAACAGGTCCATGATACATTTAACAAAGTTAATGTGCATCAGTATTCATGGGTACAGCGCCTGGTACTCACCTTAATACACTCTGTGGCAGGCAGCCTGCTCAGTAACACCACCATGTTTTCCTCTGCTTCCGCCCTCCGCTTGCTGGTCAGCTGACGTTCGTCACATGATAGAAACAGAGGCATTCGTGATGGCTTGGAAAAATGGGTTTCATCATTTCTTATGACTTCTTAGGATGTTAAAATACCATTAGTAAATAGAAATACTGTTGTATACTCATTATTCGGTTTGCATATTTGTGTGTCTTGTCACCCTCAGTTATTAAGAAGAAAACAAAGATTGATGTTGGCTCGCAAGCTGAACTCCATATATACATTAGCCATTTTAATGGGACATGATCGTTGAAAAGTGGGCAAAAAGCAGTGAGAGTGTTGAAAACAGGTTAACAATGTGACTTTACTATATAAAAACGATTAATAACTTTAGGTCCGATTGTACTAAAAAGTCTCAATAATTACATATCTGAAGAGCATCCATTAAATTACACACTGATATTGAAGCCATTTTGAAACGTCACAATTTGTCAATAGAGTTCTGTCGGACGCCCCTACACGGGAAAGGGGAGCTTTTAAAGCCGGTGATTTTTTCACATCCTGCTTTGATCAGCAGCAGCAGGGGGCTGTTTGTGGTCGTCTCGCGGGGTCAGTCAAACATTGAAGGGATGGGATGTAACTTCACTTGAAAATAGACAGCGTGTGGTGTTAAAATGCTGGGTAAGTTAGGGTGGTCCTTCTCTGTTTCTGCTGTGGATAAATCCGCTGTTTTCCTGGAATACTCGTGTTGCTCTGTTCATCCATCACAGTAATGGAGAACTCTGTAGCTACTGTAGGTATACTGTACTGTCAGTATTGTTACGTCAGGACCATAAACTGTTTGTGCTGAGAGCCAATCATCAGCTGCTGCACCTCGATCATATGTTCGATTGCTGCAGTATTGACATAGCAATTCATGGGTTGAGGTCTGTAAAGACACAGTTAGAAACCCTCAGGGGGGCTTTTGGGTAAACGTTTACGTTTACGGATAAAGTTGAGTCCTACAGTAGTACAGTATGACTTTAATGGACTTTCAATAGATTGCATCAAAGCATGCAACCAGTTTGTGCTGATATTGCTTGTTGTTAAATCTTAGAAGAAGGATATTTGTTGTGCTGTATCTTATAAACATAAAGCAAGGGTTTAATGGTGATCAGCAAAAGTGGAAGAAGTACTCCGATCTTGTACTTAAGTAGGCCTAAGAGTAGAAAGTGTAAATTTACTCGGTTACAAGTAGAAGTCCTGTATTAAAAATGTTACTCAAGTCAAAGTACACAATTATTGACGTCAACACTTAAGTACCAAAACTAAATGTACTGCAGATGAACCCATTTTCTAATTATATATAATGGTAAATGGATTGTATGATGTGTTTTGACTATAATTATTGATGTGTTTATCGAAGCTGGTAAAGGTGGAGCTAGTTTTAATGACAAATGTTGATCATATTGTTATCATTAATCCATATCTACAAAGTAACTAAAGTTACTATATACATGTTGTGGAGTAAAAGTACAGCATTTACCTCTGAATTGTAGTGGGGTAGAAGTACAAAGTAACATAAAATGGAAATGTGCAAGTCCCTCAAAATTGTACTTAAAGGTAGGTATGTAATTTCGGAGAAACCAGCTCGAGTGCGCTAGAATTTGAAACTACGCAGCCGAAAAAAATCTGCCTCTACCTTCAGACTTCCTTACAGAGCATACTTGTCAACCCTCCCGATTTTCGCGGGAGACTCACGATTTCATTGCCCTCTCCCGGTTTCTTCCCGGGGTCATATTTCTCCCGCATTTCTCCCGATTTCTGACTAAATCAGATTTACACACGACTGTTTCCACTCGGACTTTAATACAGCTACACCATTGTTTGGTTTCCATGGTAACACGTCTCTTTAGTAGCGCGCGCAACTCAAAGTATGAGAGGGTGAGGCAGATATTCACAGGAAACAGAACAAGAATCGACAACTGCTCACTCCTTTCCTGTAAAATACAGGTCCAGCCCACACATATGCTCCATCAAGGACGGTGCTACAGGCCGCAAGTCAGTGCACTTACAACTACAATAAGCATGTTAATGTTAATCTAACAGCTCCCGATTCCTGAGGTCTAAAGGTTGGCAAGTATGTTACAGAGCCCCTCCTCCAACACACACGAACGTGCACATGACCAATGAGGGCACGAGATAAGTTTGTGCACAGATGGAAGGCTGACAGGCGGGTAGGCCATCCAGATATTTTAGCCGGACCGGCTCAGATGATTGGTCGTGCTTTTTACAGTACTACGGCTTCCACAGATGACATTTTGTTATGGATTTTTTGTCAATGCATTTAATATACTGTATTAATGGCTATCGGGATGTTAAGAGCATTCCATGGAATATAACAAAAAGTGTTTCTGAAGTGAATTACATACCCCACCTTTAAGTACAGTACTTGAGTAAATGTACCATACTGAACACCACTGGTGATGAGGTCTACTATAAAAGCAGCATGTCTCACATCATGGACTCCAGAGTGGGCTTGCCAACAAATAAAACCATGTGATGGCTCCACCATGTTCACTTGTGTCCACAGTGTGTATGTCCCTGTCATGTTCCATCAAAGCAGCTGCATAAATAAATGTTGGGAAACACAACTGTCATCACCTGTCCAACACTGTGGGAAGAAAAGGAACTCCGGACATGAGCCAGACTTTACATTACATTTAATAGACCCGATGCTTTTATCTAAAGCAACTTGCAATAAGTGCAATCGACCACAAGGAGAGCAACTTAAATAGCAAATATCCTGCAAGTACATTAGTTTTCAAATCATTTAAAATGATTGGGCATTGGAATGAAATAAGCAGTGTTTGAAGAAGGACTCAGATCCTTTACTTAAATAAAAGTACAAACACTATGTCAACAGCTAAAGAGCGACTGCAGGCTGCTTCATTTTAAACACACACACACACACACACACACACACACCTCTACACACATTGAACTGCCCGATTATTACGCCTTATTATTCGTGTGTGTGTGTGTGACACTGGCATTTGTTTTCAGAAGATATTAAGATACTGTCGTCCGTTCCGGTACTGTGGTCAAATCAGCATCTCTCCATTTTTGAGTGCGCAATTAATCACAAAAAAACATTAAACAATGCACATATATTTTATTTATTTTATCTGCACTTTGGGTCCCTTTATTACCATAAGCATGCACACAATTATATTCACCAACATATTGTTGGTTTTGTTGTTGGTGCTGAACAATACGTGTAAATATCATAAATGTGTGTTCACCAAAGAGCTAACATTCAGCAATATTCTAAAATCAAAGGGAAAAATCCCATAGCACCCCCTTGTGATGCGCACTTCCTGGTCGGCCTACAAAAATACATCATCACTGCACTCTATGGGAACAACCTGAAAGTATGTTTTGCTTTTCTCTCCACAGGATGAGGGCATAGTGGAAGTTCAGTGTGGAGCACGGAGGAGCAGAAGCCCACAGAGGGGGGGGGGCGTGCCACGTGCCACTCACAGCTCAGCCTGAGCCCTCTGCTGCCTAGATGGAGGGGCTCCACTGGGTGCAGCACCGCTGGAGGCAGCTGCTGGGGAGACATTCAGGGAGGGGCTGGACCTCTGCCCCTGCTGGACCACCAGAGAAGACATCCCAGGAGGCCCATGGTTCTCCGCAGGCAGTCAGTCGGAAACGGAGAACAGTGTTTGCCCGCAATGGGCCCCACCCCCAGGAGTATGAAGCGACCTCCAGGGGCTACATGGGCAACGCCATCCGCTCCTCCAAGTACACCCTGCTGACTTTCATCCCCATGAACCTGTTCCAGCAGTTCCACAGGTCAGAGCTTCACTCGTGTGTACTGCCTACATTTGGTAAACAGAATTTTGTTTAATTTGCTTAAACACACACATAAAGACCAGTCACGTGCACCTTATACGAGAGCACCTAACAGTATAATTGTATTGGTCCCTAGAATGCCCACACCCTGCGCCCTGATCTCTGACTCTCGTTTTAAACACAATCATAAACAACATTTTAATCATGGAAGTGACATATTTGAATTGTTATTGTATTCTGAGGTGCCTCATTTGTAAAAGAATCAGAATCAGATTACCTTTATTAGTCCCACAGAGGGGACATTTACTAATGAAGGCTATATATAGAGTGTATAGGCTTTGTAAAGTACAGAATGTACTGTATATAGGCTCTAGGCAGAGTGTATATAGGATGTATGTAGATTGTATAAATGCTTTATATAGAGTGTTTATAGACTATATATAGTGTTTTTGAGCTATTCAAAGAATGTAGTCTGATAAACATAACATATTTGTAGGCTGTGTATAGAATGTATATAGTCTAGATTTTCATTTGACAGTTGCAAAGAATTGGCATACCCACAGCTCCATATTTCAATGAGTAGAATTATGTTAATGGTAATAATGCCCTGAAAACAGCAAAGACCATTTATGGCAGTCAACATAAATATAGAGGCAGTCATTTCCAAGATGAATTAGTTTTAATGCAATATTATGTTTCACACATATTGGTGTCTGTTGAAAAAATAAAAAAATGTCGTGGTTAGTATCATAACTATGAAACTATGTCCATTTATTTATCCTAAATTTTAATTGAAAAATGTGGTTGCCTTAACATGTACTTTTCACTCGGTTGTACTTAGCTCAACCCTCTTGTGTTACTGCTGCTTACAAAAATACAAGAAGGTAACGGCAGGAAACCTTCCAGCAGGAAACCACCTTCCTTGCAAAGATGGTTTCCTGCTGGAAGATTCCATAAACTTTCTTAGGTGTTTTCTGTTCCAGAATGTATTGCTTGTTTGTTTAGCTTAGTTTCATGTGTGGACCTTGGAATTGGGGTAAAAAGGGCTAGATAAGCCTATTAGTCCACAGTTTTTTGAATGCCACATCTTAGGTCCATCAATTACAAATTTGAGTTGAGATATTTCAGTCCAAACCACAAAAACTGACAGACACATAGGAAATATATTGTGGAACACCAATGGAAAGTCTAGGAGCAAATGGTTGCATTTCCACTAAATACTAATTAGCTGCTTTGGTCTTCCTTTGTAGGGCTGCCAACCTCTATTTCCTGTTCCTGGTGTTACTGAACTGGGTGCCAGTGGTTGAAGCCTTTCAGAAAGAAATCACCATGATTCCTCTGCTGGTGGTTCTCACTGTAATCGGCATCAAGGACGCCCTGGAAGACTTCAGATGCTACCTGTTTGACAAGAAGGTCAACAACAATGTGGTGCGAGTGTTTTGTGGGTAAGTCAGCCTCTTTAGCTGAAATGTTCTGACTTGTGAACATGTCTGTGAGGCTGTGATACCATAAACTGGTATGAAAAAATATTGAACTTCATCATATTACCCAACTTATATAAAGTACATAGTATGCAGAGTGACTAGCTTAGCATCAGAACTTCAAGGAGTTCACAGCTGCATGATAAGTAAAATTGCTGAGTGAACCACAGCTTAACTGGATAATGATGGGCTTGTCTTATTGGCTCTGCTCCAAACAGTTGATTCAGAAAATGTTCAGTTGCCATATTATATTATTATAATTCTTTTTTTTAGCTCAATAAACACATATAGTATTTTAAAGGACACTTCCTGTATAGATCACCGGAAGTTGGCTAGAGGGGACGCTGGCGTGTTTTTCGCCGCTCTTCTTGCCGACGCTTATTCCTCGTGTCTATCACTCCCTGCCGTCAATTATTTTTCGCATACACAGCGAAAAGATTGTTCTGCTCTGGTTTTGTGTTTCTGCCATACTCCGTTGCTCAGCCGATTATGTTTGGCTGCTGTTTAGCTCCTAGCCTCTGCCGTCCTGCCATTAGCAAAACGAGCTCACCGTTGTGCTCTGCTATCCGTGGAATCCCCGCTCCGGAATACCCCGACTGGGCTCCTCTCTGCCCCACTCCAAGGACTATCCACGAACCCTCCCTCAGTCCTGCCATCTCAACTCGGGTGTTTTCCATCACCGCTGCTGAGGTTCGAGGTCCGGTTTCTACCAGGCTAATGGTGCTAGCTGCTAGCTGGCTCGCTGTTTTTCCGACATGCCCCACCCCGGAACCTGCGGTCTTCAGACTCTGGCAACCCGCACCAACCTGTGCGGGACAGAGCCTTCAGTATGGCAGCCCCCACTCTCTGGAATGCTCTCCCTGCGGAGATCCACAACATCCCCACACTTGACGCCTTCAAAAGGGCCCTCAAGTCCCATCTGTCTGCCAAGGACTTTGGCCCCAAATCTATTTGTTGTTTTCTCTGTCTAACTGTCCTGTCAGCCTGACTGCCTTTTGTTTCTGTTATGTTTGTTTATACTCCTGTTCTTCCTTGTAAAGCGACCTTGGGTCTCGTGAAAGGCGCTATAAAAATCTGAGTTGTTATTATTATTATTATTAATATTATTGTAGCAAGTAAAACTCTAACACAGAAAAGACCTGTCTATGCTGCCCCAGAATGCCTCGTTGGACATTCTTCTTTTTTTATTTTGTTCTTCCTGAGTATAGTGACGTAACGATACCCAGGTCCAAATGGACCAATCCGTGGAGCTCCTCACACACACTCACTCAGCCTTATCTTTTCTCAACCGCGGTATTCCACGGAGTTTCGCCGGCACACACACTTACTCAGTTTTATCTTTTCTCAGCCGCGGCTCCGCAGATCTCCACTCACAGTTCGCCACACACTCACGTGTGTGTGCTCAGGCTGAGTTCCGCAGTGTCTCGCTGTCTCGCAGACCCCACGCAGCAACCAGGAAACGACACCAGTAATAAAGCTCACTGTCCGCTCCTCACAGCAGCGAGCCCCTCAACGTCCCGCCAACACAGCACCCAGACCCCACGCAGCATTCTCATCTGTTTGTCATTACTGGTGTCATTTTCTGGTTACTAACAAACGCCATTGTAACACATACACATCAGAGCACAGTGGGCTCACAGGCAGTGGCGTTTTCTCCTGGAGGCCAAGGGAAGCCAGGCTTCCCCTGTTTTTTCGGATTGTAGTTATCATTTTAATAAATATATAAAAACTAGGGCCGGGACTCGATTAAAAAATGTTATCTAATTAATTAGAGATTTTGTAATTAATTAATTGAAATTAATCGCATTTTTAATCACATATAAATATTTGACCTGAGAACAGTGAGAAGATGTCAATAAAGTTTGCCGTCACACAGTGGTAATTTGAATTGCTTACTGAGGTCCAATGATCCCCAGTCAGGGCAACACATTCGGCTTTCTCCAATAAATTCTCTTTATCTTCCTTTTCATTATGAAAAGGAAGATAAAGAGAATTTATTGGAGAAAGCCGAATGTGTTGCCCTGACTGGGGATCATTGGACCTCAGTAAGCAATTCAAATTACCACTGTG